ACAAAACTGTAACGTTATTGTCACGTTATCATAATGTATTATTGTTTGCTGGGAAGGTCGTTACTACTCGCGTAGTAGCTCACCTCTCCTTAAGTTGAAACAGGAAGCTTTTCAAAGTCTTGGATGTGTTTGAATAACGTTAAAAACAATTGACGCCTAGATATAGGCCTGCTTGTAGATATCATCTTCATTATGATATATGATATTTGGATTATTAGTATTCTAAAGATTTGCTACTATTAAATTACGAGCAGTTTGTCAATTTCTGGAGTGCTTTTTCCACGCTTTGCATGAACTGGTTGAGTAGACGCGCGTATATCCCTCTGATTTGCGGTTTGCTTTAATTAAATTGTGTCTCAAATGTACGAAAACCAGACTGATAAAAGTGCGTCTAGCTCGCAAAGTTTCCGCAAAAGTAGCAGCTAAATTTGGTACCATCATAAAGCTAAGGCTATACTGATGATGGTGATGTAAAAATTAAAGCATGAATCCACATGAATCTAAACTTTCTCTCCTACTTTTCTAAAAATAGATTTTTAAATATTTTTTTCTGTCGTTTAAACAACGATTTATTATTGATGCAAAGTAATAAAAAGAAACGTGTTTTGACAAAATGTAGTCAATTATAGCATTTGAAATATTTATAGAGACATTTCCGACATTTGTTGAAAAATACTACCCTTAAAATTCGTTTAAATGTAAAATATTTTCAGGATAGATTCACCAGGGTATACCCATTTTCAATCATGTGAAAAAAAGTGTAAAAGCCATAGTCTCCTCTCCTTGGAATACCATCCTTAAAGTGCTGAATATTCTGAGATTCTGTATAAATCACATGCTGGCCTAAAGTATTAGTTTATAATTAAGCCAGACTGCTACTAGTCCGTTATGTATGGTAACTAGGCCTAGTTCTAGCAGGAGCCTGAGTCGATGACGTACGAGTAAAATTGTCGCTCCACCGGCGGGCCAATGATAAATCAGCATACTAGGCCTAGCTATAAAACCGAAAAGACTCGAATAAAACGTCAAAACCAATTTTCATTTAGCGTAAGAATAACAATAATTAATAATACTATCTAATAGTACGATAACACATGGAAATCAGTAGCTCAACTAGGCCTAAAATTGTCAAATTTAGTGAAATCAAACATGGTCTACCTACAAAGAACTTACTTTTGTTTGTCATCGCACATTAAAAAAAAAACAAAAACGTAGAGGCAGGTACCTAACATAACATAGGATCCGCTGTGTGTTCAGCAATTTTCGTAACATTCGTAACCGCATACATTCGTAACCTTTCGCATTTTATTGGAAATATTCGCAAGATTAATTATGAGCATTGATTGGTAGTCGGCTCGTGATCAAAGGTGTCGACTGGTACCGACTGGTACCGAGATTCACAGTCACTTACCTCGGCAAACTATTCGATGACATAGTAGCTACTTTCAGTAGCCACAAAAATTAGTGGACGCTGGGTAATTGATTGATTGATTTATTTATTTATTTTCCACATAATGAACAAAAACAAACATATACATGATCAAACATATTCAATAGGCAAATAACATTGGGAGTTACCATACACATACCTTAGACATACACATTTATACACGTGTATGTTTAAAGTTTATTATTATTATTATTATTATAAAGCAAATTATCAATTAAACGATTATTATTATTATTATTATTATTATTATTATTATTATTATTATTATTATTTCTGTACAGATAAATTGTCTATCAATATGGAACATTGACCACTAAATTTTTCACATTATATATGCTTTGAGAATTTAGCATTCATTAAATTATTATATCCTTCTTACCGCCGGTTCTTCGTAATGTCTCGATATTGCTTTGGTTACCTTAAATAAAATTATATAGCCTAAATCAATTAAACAGTTATTTAGATTTTTAAAAACACGTTTGGACAATGTCAAGTCTGTTAATACTTATAGGCCATCAAAACAGTTTCACATTGCATGTAGTCATGTTTGAACCAATTGGGGCTATTGTTTCATCTTCAAAAAATTTACTTTGCCTATTGCCCATGTTGCCTATATTATTATATACATGTACATAATACTTGAAATATACTAAACATTAAATCATTCATCAGAATAAACTATTGATAATTTCCTTTACCGAACAGAGGCCCACCAATATAGAAAAAGGTTCAATCACACAAAAAATAATTAACTTGGCCGGGAGACGGGCAATACTTCTTTCCTGTATGTGTCTCACCTGTGGCTTTGAATTTCTCATCTTTCCGAGGACGACAAATATAAATGAAGATAAAAGGATTCCCAGTAAGAAACTTAGAAACGTCGATCCAACTAGAAGATTAGTATTTGAACCTGAACATTTCTGTGGTACTTAAATAATAAATGATAAACAAAATGAAAAAGGATAAAATGATAATAAGGATAAATAGTGTATTACAAACATCTGAAATGTCCATTACTTTATAAATTTACATAGAGCTAGTTAGCGTATTAATGGAATTATCATTCAGAAACAATGCTCATAAATATGCCAAAATAGTGAACGTAAGTTTCTGAATAATACAGTAGTGTTACTTTTATTTAATCATTGATCGATCGGACAACAGATCAACCGATCGAATGATTCAAAGACAAACAGACTGAACGATAACTGACCACAATTCGAATACCTTCATCAAATGACCGAAAGGTCCACTGATTAATCTCAGATAAGATAGTATAATACATCATCAGGAATGGCATTCCTGATGATGACATAATTAATGTCGAAATATTGAATTCCGACACTATTGCGTGCATTTCGATACTTGGAGTATGTATTATTCTTTTTCATCAAATGAATGAACAAAAACAAAATACGTACCCGTGGTTGAAATACTTGCTACGGATGTTAATGATGGTCCTATTAAAATAATCTTTCATTAGAAAATTCTTTCATTAGAAAATAAAACCGAATATATTGATATACGTAAATGCAGGCTTGATACGCAAAATTCACAATTGGTGATGGTGTCCTCATTTATATTAAAATTAATATAAATGAGGACAACGCCATTAATTATATATTGTATTTAATATAAATGTGTACACCACCACCAATTATATTAACAATAATATATAATTGGTGGTTTTGTCCTCATTAAAAATAACATTCTTTGTAAAGAAATTAAAACTTTTACTTGAGAATGAAATACAAGGGCTTTTTGGGTTGAGTAAATTTACAACATTCTAAACCTTTACTCTTAGGAATACCCAATTTTACCTAAATTTTTAAAATATTTCTTTATCCTATAACGGAAACGCGATTGACAGTTGAGGCATTCAAATACCTTAGAGTAGTTTTGGATCGTAAATTAACATGGTTAGAATATATTGACAAATTAACATGTAATATCTCAAAAAGTATTGGTGTTATTCACCGTGTTAAGTTGTATTTACCCCATAATACTTTCAAAAAGTTGGCGCCTTAGTTGTGCCTCTTTTTGATAATTGTAATAGTGTCTAGTCGAATTGTAATGTTAAACTTTTAAATTCTCTTCAAGTGATTTTAAACAGACTAAAAATAATTTTAATTTCCGCAGATAACAAAAACTCCAGTTGTAGATATTTTAAGTTCTTTGGATAAATGGGAAAAACAAATATGCTTTTTTAAATGTTTAAAGGACCAAGCCCCGTTATAATGTATCTAAGCTGGAGTTTATCTGCGGAAGGTAAAATTATCTCTAGTCTGTTATATTCAAGTACTTGAAGAGAATTTGAAAGTTTAACATTACAATCCGACCACACACAATTAAAATTATCAAAAATGTCCAATCAGACTATTCATGCTTTTTTTGATACAATGAATACTCCAATTGAACATCAATTGAATAATATGTAGGGTAAAAGTACATTTGTTTACAGATCAACTAAATTATGGAATAAACTCCCAGATAATATTAAAACAAAATTTGAATCCAAGACTCTTTTTAATTTTAAAAATTATGTCAAATCCTTATTAGATAACTTATATCAATTTTTGATGCTTATTATACTCCAATGTAAATTATTGTATTGTTAATAGTTGAAGAAAATTTTTTAATGATGTTTCTTTAATCATTTTCTTAATTTTTAAATACACTGAAAGTATTATTTCAGTATAAAAACAGATAAATAAAAAATATTAAATCTATGTCTTCATAGTTTCTATTCATTTGCAAATAAACGTACATATAAAAAATATGAATGAAGAGAAGACGTACCTATGGAGAAAGAACTGGCTATGGATGTCGTTGATGGAGCTAATGAGCAAAACAAGGTTATGTTTTCAAAATTAAAACAAAAAACATAATTTCATATTTAACAGAAACATTAATAGCTGGCAAAAATAATGTAAATTTTACAAAATACAGATTTCTGAAATACTGTATTGTAATTATCTAATTATTCCTATAATTGTACTTACAAGTAGGCCTAAACAATGACATTGTTCCTTTATTACTCAGCTTTCCTTCACTCCCACTGTAAGCTGCATTTTCTGCTCGACATCGGTAGTCTCCTTCATCCATTTCATTGACTCTGCTGATCTTTAATGTTGTATCTGACTGTGGATACTTCTCAGTATCAGACACATCTAGTACACAGCCAGTTTTGATCCATGTAATGGTGATAGGTGTTGGAACACCATCAGGGAAAGGGCATGTGAATGTCGTAGTTTTGTTTCTGTTGACATATCTCTCTGTTGGTGACAACATTGGTGTCTCAAGGTCTGTAATGACAGTTCCAAATATNNNNCTCTCTCTCTCTCTATATATATATATATATATATATATATAGAATATAGAATCTATGTAATCTTTGTATTGTTAAAGTGATTATTTTAGATGGCAGTTATCATTTTATATTCAGTCACATCTGTATGTAAATTATCAGATTAACTATCGATAGTTCTTCTACGGAGTAAAGGCCAAGCAATACACGGTAGCAATCCAAATAACAATTTTATTGATTTATATCATTTATAGGTATCTGGAGCAGCACCCAGACATTATGAACATATATATATATATATATATATATATATATGTTCAAGTGCCTGATCAATTCTAACCCCACTTGCGCACGCTTCTACATGCTACCAAAAATACATAAGACTGATACTCCTGGTCGACCTATTGTGTCCTGCTGTAATTGCCCCACTGTTATCATCAGCGAGTTTTTAGATAATGTTCTTAGCCCTATGGTTCAGCGACTGCCTACGTACATTAAAGACAGCAAGGAAGCACTCGTGCTATTTGATCAATTTCAATTTCCTGGCGACCATCGTCTTATATTTACTATGGATGTTACATCTTTATATACCAGCATACCCATATCGGATGGCCTTACTGCTCTTAAGTACTTTTTGGAGTCAAATAATCCTACATCACATGCCACATCTACTCTTATCCGCCTTGCTGAATTAGTTTTGACCACCGCTTCGTTCACCTTTAATGGATCATACTACCGACAACTTACTGGAGTCAGTATGGGTACTCGCATGGGACCCAGTTTTGCATGTTTGTTTATGGGTTATCTGGAGCAACAAATATTCAATGAATACGACGGTACCAAACCTTTGCTGTTCAAACGCTACATCGACGATTGTGTGGGAGCTGCATCTTGCTCATATGACGAGCTAACCAATTTCATTAATTGCATGAATTCCTTTCACCCAGCTATCAAGTTCACCCACGAGATCTCATACACCAGTGTCACATTTTTGGATATCGATGTTAGCATCAAGGGCTCTACATTATCAACTTCCGTCTACTATAAACCTACTGATGCACACACCTATTTGAATTACCAGTCATCACACCCACCCAAATGCAAAGACTCTATCCCTTACTCACAATTAGTTCGACTCAGAAGAATCTGTAAACAAGACGACGACTTTAAAACACGCGCCAAAGAAATGATGTCCTTCTTTTCCAATAGAGGATATCTCACCAACATCACCGACGGCTGCCTCAACAAAATTAACAAGATGACACGGGAAATTGCACTCAACCCCGGGAAAGCGCTGCATCTACCGATAGAATACCGCTAGTCCTTACCTATCACCCAATAACGAAACAAGTTGCTGAAGTAATAACCAGGAACTTTGAGATTTTATCATCAGACCAAGCCACAAGTAATGTGTTCACATCACCACCTATGCACGCCTACCGCCGAGATAAAAATTTTAAGGAGACTCTTGTTCATTCCAATGTTAAATCCACACATAACCCACCTCCTATTGGATCTACTACTGCGTGTAACCGACCACGATGCAAGACTTGCGCTCATGTTTACTCCACCGACATCATCCACGGACCGGCTAGTATCTTCAAAATAAGAGACTCTTTTTCATGTATTTCTTGTAACATTGTTTATGCCATTATTTGTACCAAATGCAGACTATTATATGTTGGAGAGACCAAACGGCGTATGAGCGACCGCTTTACTGAACATCTACGATCTATCAAACTCCAACTACCTGATCTTCCAGTTGCCACTCACTTTTCCACTAATGTTTATATTGCCAAAACCTTCAACGTTCTTTGCGGCCAACAGGGGCTTCCTTTTCGGAGTTTAACCTTAGGCCATAAAGTATAACTAGTTGCTTGAGATTCAGAGATTATATTTGGCTCGTGACATCAACTCTAAAAATAATTTGGCCCTTCAACAAAATTAATGAAGAACCAGGGATATATATATATATATATAGGCCTATATGTGTGTGTGGGGGTGTGTTTGTGTGTGTGTATGTATGTATGTACAAAATAGTTGGTCCACGTGTGTTCAAATAATTAAACAAAAATAATGATGATAAACAAATTCTAGCAAATCTTGGTACATCTATGCTAATCTTTCCGGAAAAAAAATTGTATTAGAAAACAAAATAACATGGAAATGTGAAGTCAGTAGCAGTACTCACAGTAGACTGTTAAATTTGAGAAACCGTCTGCAGTCTCACCATCAGGTGAAGTAAATACTCTGCACAAGTAGTAACCTGCATCCTCTACTACAACGTTAGAAATAATAAGGCTTCCATTATCGCTTAAGCTGTATCTACCATTGGGTTCTTTGTTTCCATATGCATTATGTATAATATTTTCTCCTTGTGTAATACCATCTGCATTACTTCTGGACCAAGCCAAAAAAGCCAAATCTTCTCCTGGTGCAGGTGTAAATGTATACGTCAGTAATACATTTTCACTCAATTTTGCCGTAGCAGGATCTACTATCACTGATCTTGATTGAGCAAGGGCACCTTGAACCAAGCAAGCGTTTAAAACAAATCAAAATTATATTATATATGAATGTTAACAGAAAATGGAATAATATGTGTTGTATGAACTTAATCAACTCTGCTCACTGTGAGCACCAAACGACGCGACACCGTTTGCTGATTGTTTGTGGCAGTCTGAACATTAAAAACGATCGGTTGCGCGCGCGTAGTGGCGTTGCGTTTTCCATATCATCCCATCTGTCGACGATCGTCGAGCGCTCTGAGTACCCGACTTAACTAACAAAGACAAAAAATATCATAATTACCAAAAATGAAAACCAAAATTATCAGGCAGACAAAGTACATTATGTGGTAATTCCTATGATTGTTACTAGTGTCATAGATAAACACAGTCAATGTAAAACAATGCACATGCCTACACAATTACAGTACTAAGTCATAGGCATACGTGAATTCAGTTAATAAAAAACGCCCTTTATGTCTAATACAACTGCCATTGAGAACTTGGTAGTTGCTAAATACAACGGGTTCAGCCGAGGGGGCGTGGCTTGTATGGTAACACGTCATGTATAAATTATACAGTCTACCTAAAAACATCGCACATACACCGTGTGACCATGGAGGAAGAATTTGTGACCATGTGACGTTAGTGAGGCGGGCTGAGGCTTAGTTTGTACATAGGTTTGTGCTACTGCTACGGCCGGGTGACGGACGATCGGGGGCACGGGAGACATCGAGTCCATTTCCAGACCATTGGGCCCAAAGTATGGACGATCGTGTCGGTCTAGGCACCTCTCCCTGCGCTAGGTCTTGCCAGGAGGCCTCTTCAGTAGTCTGAAGCCTTGGCAAAGCATAGTCCTAGACAAGTGCTTCAGCAACCCGCAGCAGTCTGTCTAGCAGCGGCGGGGCCGGGGGACAATGGAGCTCCGAACAAGTCAAGGATCCGCCGGCCGAGCTCGCCGGGCAGTCGGACCAACAAAAAAAAAATAATTAAATATAGGCCCTCGCCGGGCAGTCGGACAAAAAAAAAAAAAAAAAAAAAATTAAATATAGGCCTACAAAAAAAAAAAAAATTAAATATAGGCCTACACCAAGCCATGTCTTTCACACTGCTAAGTGCCATTTCCGGCCATCCAGAGCTCCCTTTAGAAAAACTATCTCCTAAACCCCCTCCTCAGGCATACGAGCTCAATCCCCCTGTTGGACAGATTAGCTCACCCCGAAAAAAAATGTATCCCAGAGCAGCCACTGTCTAGGCCTTTAGGCCTATGCAGAATGTGGCCCGAGGCTAATAAAGAATAGGCCTAATTGTTAATACGTTACTTTATACAAATTGCAATTGGAAAATTAATATATTTAATTAAATATTTAACATTCTGTTCCCCTTCTCTTTTGTGTAACTAGCTGGCAATTTTGTGAAACATTACAAAGTAATAAATCTTCAGCAGTTATGTGTAATAGAAGTTGTAATTTTAATTTATTAGGCCCATTTTGTCTTCCAGTATAGTGGCGCCACCCCTGTTCTACGTTCACATCGAATAGACCTTTCAGAAGTGTCTATCGCACACTTAACAACTGACCAAGGAACCAGGAATACGCGCGTGTCCTTCAAACAAAATTGCCCAAACTTTCTAATGTGTTGTCCCAAAACGCGCGTGTGCTTACGTACATTTACGCTATGGTTTTGTGGGCCTAAAGAAACAATATTCAACAAGGGGCCGGGCTTAGCAGAAAGTGCCATTAATTCATTACGTCATCTTGTCATCTCAGATTGTTTTTTATCGCAATGTCAATTGCTCCAAGTCTTTTAAACTCTCTCATTTTGTATGTTATCTGTCTCTTATACACATCTAGATGTGTATAAGAGACAGATATCAGTCAAATATGTCTGGTATCGTACAATGGTGATGACATTTCACATCTTAATCTAATTACTAATCTATGGATATGGTTTTATTTCTGTCTCTTATACACATCTAGTTCTAGGCTCTCAAAAAGATGGAACGAACTTCTTTATGTTAATCCATGATTTCTAAGGATCATGTGGGGTTCATTTTCCCCTTGTATTTATATTATTATTGGTTAAGTGTACGATGTTTTACTATGGATGTAAAGTCTGAAATAAAGAATAATGAATGAATGAATTTGCCGGCTCTTTTAAACCATTTATTACTAATAACTATACAAAATTTGTTAGAAATTTATTTGCTCCGGTGGCTGCAGATTAATCCATAAGAACAAAAACCTATAATATAATGTATGCATACATTGAAATGGACAAAAAACTTTACTTATTCAGGAATCAGGTGCCTAACAACACCTAAGCGAATAGAAATTTAAATAGAATTTTCAAGAATTATGGGTTTCAGAAACGCAATAATTTCGGCCTCAAAATGCTACTTCGTCGGAGCTTCTCGGTTTCTGGACCTCGACAGGGACCATAAAGAGCCCAGCGTAAGGCGAGTTTGTAAGCGCACACCTTTCCCACCGAAAATCCTGCCTATCTACAAATGACGTAATGGATAACACTTTTATTTTTATTTTATTATTTCTAAAATTCAAATCTGCAAGCTAGTGCATATTATTCGGCGCATACAACTACTCAAGGCACATTACCAATTATCATTACTAAACCACCCAGTTGACGGTGACCGTCAACTCCCAGCAAACTCTAATTTTGGGGCGATTGAAATATAGTGGTGGTGGCGGTTGCGGTGGCGGTTGCGGTGGTAGGGCTGACATTCAGAGAGCATTTTCCGACGGAGAATCCAACATAATTCGTTATGGATAGAAAACTAGTTTTACAGAATATGAAGCTGTAAGATCGATTACGGGCCTAAAAGCACTTAAAATCTCTAAATTGTTAGTGATTCCAAAGCCTCGACCTCTCGACTTATCCAGAGGTTCTGTGATAACGCCCCTCCTTGCCGTCGCACAAATCTTGGCGCTACCACTTTTGTTTTGTGATTATTTTACATAAGCAAGAAATAACATCATCAATAAGCAAGAAATATTGAAATATGGAGTGTTTACTTCGTTTGGCAAAATATTAAATCAATCATTGGATGCAATAATTATGATGAATGTAGGCCTAGTATCCTAATATTGTGCTGTAGTACAATTAAAAATAGAATGGAAGTTTATATTGCCAAAACCTTCAACGTTCTTTGCGGCCAACAGGGGCTTCCTTTTCGGAGTTTAACCTTAGGCCATAAAGTATAACTAGTTGCTTGAGATTCAGAGATTATATTTGGCTCGTGACATCAACTCTAAAAATAATTTGGCCCTTCAACAAAATTAATGAAGAACCAGGGATATATATATATATATATAGGCCTATATGTGTGTGTGGGGGTGTGTTTGTGTGTGTGTATGTATGTATGTACAAAATAGTTGGTCCACGTGTGTTCAAATAATTAAACAAAAATAATGATGATAAACAAATTCTAGCAAATCTTGGTACATTTATACTAAACTTTCCGAAAAAAAAAATTGTATTAGAAAACAAAATAACATGGAAATGTGAAGTCAGTAGCAGTACTCACAGTAGACTGTTAAATTTGAGAAACCGTCTGCAGTGTTACCATCAGAAGTAAATGCTCGGCACAAGTAGTAACCTGCATCTTCTACTACAACGTTAGAAATAATAAGGCTTCCATTATCACTTAAGCTGTATCTACCGTTGTTTCCATATGCATTACCGGTATGTATGATATTATCCCCTTGTGTAACACCATTTGCATCACTTTTGAACCAAGCCAAGAAAGTCAAATCTTCTCCTGGTGCAGGTGTAATTGTATACGTCATTAATGCATTTTCACTCAATTTTGCCGTAGCAGGATCTACTATCACTGATCTTGATTGAGCAAGGGCACCTAGAACTAAGCAAGCGTTTAAAGCAAATAAAAATTATGTTATATATGATTGTTAACAGAAAATGGAATAATATGCGTTGTATGAACTTATTCAACTCTGCTCACTGTGAGCACCAGACGACGCGACACCGTTTGCTGATTGTCTGTGGCACTCTGAACGGATCGTCATTAAAAACGATCGGTTGCGCGCGCGTAGGTGCGTTGCATTTTTTATATAAACGCATCTGTCGAAAATCGTCGGGCGCTCTGAGTACCCGACTTTACTAACAAGGACAAAAATATCATAATTACCAAAAATGAAAACCAAAATTATCATGCAGACAAAGTACATTATGCGGTAATTCCCACAATGATTGTTACGGTACAATAGATAAACACAGTCAATGTAAAACAATGCACATGACTAACGTAACACAATTACAGTACTAAGTGATAGGCATACGTGAATTCAGTTAAGAAAAAACGCCCTCTATTTCTAATGAACTTCGATACAACTGTCATTGAGACCTTGTTTCAGATTCAGATATATTTATTCAGATATAACAATGAATAAATAAATTGAAATTGAAATTGAAAAACAAAACAAATAGATCAAATCATTATTATCTTTGATCGTTTCTAAAAAAAACTTGTCTTGGAGGGACCCCCCCCCCCCCCAAAAAAAAAAAACACCAAAAATAAACAAAAAACGTACCGGTATATAATATAGGCCTATATAGGTCTAGGCCTAATACATAATAAGCAAAAAAAAAATAACAGTTTGTTTAATCCAAAATTGGATTTATAAACACAAAAACAATAGAAAAGATGTGTAGTAAAAAAAACACCAAATTTTAAAAATATGATTATACTATATATACATACATACTTTCAGTACTATTGTATTTGCAGAGCTTACAAATATGGCGTTCCGGAAAAGCTCTGAGTTTTCAATCGAAAGTTGTTAAAACCTGGTGCTGAATACTACTTGGTAGTATTTGTATAGTTATTGTATAAATATTGATTATTCTAACTGCAAACACAATTCTGTTACCCTATGTAATAATTAAGAAAAAATAAACATTAAGCCTATATAAACAAAACACGTTCCAAATGCGTTATCATTGCATCCACACTTATCCAAAACTAAATTCCTACAGCACTATAAATACTTTTAATTTAATGTTTGAAGCTTACTTCATTGTGTTCTTGACCTATAGTAGTATGAACATATTATTATGTGAAAGTCCGTCGTTGGCATTGAAAGATAATTTTAATATTTCCTCCAAAGTAATATGGTTCCGTTATGGCCCAGATTGGGTTAGTGGGCTTTATTGTCGCATAGGCCTATTTCCTAACATATAGGTCCAGACAGGTAAATGTTATATTATCTATTGTTTAGTACTAAAAATAAACATTAAGCCTATATAAACAAAACACGTTCCAAATGCGTTATCATTGCATCCACACTTATCCAAAACTAAATTCCTACAGCACTATAAATACTTTTAATTTAATGTTTGAAGCTTACTTCATTGTGTTCTTGGCATATAGTAGTATGAACATATTATTATGTGAAAGTCCGTCGTTGGCATTGAAAGATAATTTTAATATTTCCTCCAAAGTAATATGGTTCCGTTATGGCCCAGATTG